ACCATAAAAATTTAATGATAGTAAAATATATATAAAATCTGTGATGAAAAAATGAAGGGGGGGGGGGAGAAAACCCAGTAACAAACTGAAATGTTAACACAAATCAAATTAAACATAACTGATGTTAGTAGGGCCCGTCCAACCCTCAAAAAGGAGATCGCTGTATTCTGCCCATGGGACAAAATCAAGAAGCTCTTTCACTACGGGTATAATACGGGCATGGGAAAATATAAAGCTGACCTAGTCGAGATGAAAAAGGGCGGGCCAAAACAAACTGGGGGGGGGGATCTCGACTTGAATCATAACCAAAGAAGCAGCCGGGAACAGGCCAGGAGCAACACTTACTCATATTAACTAGGTACATTAAGGCTTGTTTAACCTAACCAAGGGGACGGTTCCACAGGAAACCACCTCGATGTGACGTAGGTTGACCTAAAAGAGAAAATCAAGGCTAGCCCCGTTTAAACGAACCAATACTGTAATTTCTGCTACGTCATCATTTTTAATGTTTATAACATCATATTTGGTCGAATCCAATATTGCTTTAATATTTCAGACTTCTAATCGGATGTCGAAAATTTGCTCGGTTTTCCCTTAAGCCCGTTCATCCTAACAACCGTATTATTTTATTCTGACTCGATGTTTTTATCTAAAACTTCCCAAATGATGGCATGAATATCTGACTAAAGTTCGTCAGTATATTAAATTGATTAATATTTGAAGCTTCGGTAAATAAACAGTAAGCAGTAATTGCTAAAACTTTATTATTATCATCAGTAGGCAATTTTTATAAAAGAGTTTGAAAAATATATGTAAAGAGGAATTTATAGAAATAAGTCGGGAAGTTTACAAAACGTGTCGGGAGCAAATCAGGCATTCAGTTTTCTGTACTTTCCCTGTCTGTTATTTTAGACGAATAAAAAAAAATCGTAGAAGAGCAGAAGATTTGTTTTGGTGATTACAGACTATCCACTTTCTTAGAGATTTCTTTTTATAGATGTCGATTATATGAGTTAAAAGAAGGAAGGGACAAAGTCAAATAAAAGAAAGAAAGGCCGTGTATTCAGGTAGAAATGAAGAGGAAGAAGGAACGATGTAAAGGAAAAAAGTAGAGAGTGGGAGGATGAAGGAAATGAAGAAAGTGTTGTAAAGAAGGAGGTAATGGAATAGGAAGAAGGAAAGAATTGGAGGTGGGGGGGGAAAGGAAATTGAACGAAATAGAAAAGCGAAGGTAGTGAACGAGGTGGAGGTAGGAAAGAAGAATTAAAGTGGAGGGCGGAAGGAAGTGCAGCAAAGAAAGAAGTGCAGGAAGTGCAGGAAAGAAGGATGTAACACAAACCAAAAAAGAGAGAAGTGGAGAAATGACGAGAACAAAAGGGAAAATGTTAAGAGGGGGATTAGTAGAGTAAGGAAGTGTAAGGAGAATTGAAGTGGCGCAAGAAACGAAGGAAGTGCAAAAAAGAAGGTCAAAATGGAAGTGGCAGAAGGAAAGAAATGCATACGTAAAGATAGGAAATGAACAAAATGGAAAAAGAAAAAAGATAAGAAATAGAGGAAGAAAGTGACAGAATTGAAGGAAATAAAAAAGGATTGAAGTGGAGAGAGGAGTGAAGGAAGAACAGAAAAGATGGAAGCAATGGAAACCTAGGAAGGAAGGAAGGAAGGAAGGAAGGAAGGAAGCGAAGGGGTAGAGGATGGAAGTACACCAAAAAGCTGTAACACGAGGGGAAGTGGAAAAATCAGGCGTGGCTGACCACATATGGAGAGAAAAGGGAGATCACCGCCCTCTGTGGGATCAGGTTGAAATCAGAAGAATAAGTAGACTAAGAACATTATTGGAAAATTCGTAAACTTAAGGAATCAGCACATATGCTAAGCCACAAAAATCTCCTGAGCCGACCAAGCACAGAAATACAATATGGGAACCAGTAATAAAGAATACCGGGAAAAAGCAATAATAACAAAAAAAAAAAAAAAAAAATGAAATGTGAGCTCTGGTAAAAAACATTCAATGATAACAGCAAAAAATTGCAATATGAGCACTGGTGAAATGGTTGCTGAAGTTTATAAGTCCCAGATATTAATACACAGATGTCCTTAGGGAAGGAGTGGATAAAGGCGTTGGTAGGATCCAGTGATAAGACCCAAAGAGTTGTGAGTTCAATACCTGGTTAAGGAAGTAGAGAACTTGGAGAGGGGAATTAACAGGAGATAACTGATATCCATTACACATGACACATGGAACTAGAACAGTCTACCCCAGTGAGCGAAATAAAGGGTTCAGTTCGACATTCCAACCGCCTGAAGAAGGCCGGAGCGTACAACGGCCGAAACGTTGTGATAAATATGGCAACAAAGATGAGGACAATAGTTCGAATAATGTAAATAGTGTATCTCCTGCTAATTTCCCTCTGAAAGTTCTCCACTGCCTTAACCGGGTATTGAACTCCCACTCTTTGGTAATGTCCTCAAGTACACATGGCACAGTAGATAAAGGCGTTGGTTAGATTCAAAGTGACAGGACCCATAGAGTGTGAATTCAATACCCGGTTAAGACAGTGGAGAACTTTCAGAGGGAAATTCGCAGGAGATAACTGACATCCATCAAACATGGCACGTGGAACTAGAACAGTCTACCCCAGTGAGCGAAATAAAGGGTTCAGTTCGAAATTCCAACCACATGAAGAAGGCCGGAGCGTACAACGGCCGAATGGTTGTGATAAATATGGCAACAAAGATGAGGACAATAGTTCGAATAATGTAAATAGTGTATATAATACCTAATCTCAGAAATATAGGCATATAGCATATTACGATATTTACCTGCCTCTCCACGAGGTAGGATGCGGCACAAGGCCAAATTTAATGTGGGGAAATCCGAGCCCGTGGGTTTGGGCAAAATTGTCCGTCGACCCCGCATACGCGGGAACGGGTATCTGTCTGCCCTTTGGCATAGCCTCGTCCGGGTTCCTCTCTGCTTAGGCAGTAGATTGCCCGCACTTACAATAGTATCCAACGTATTTATGAGGATTGGGATATACCCATTAGTACGGTATATAACAACATGTTTGTCAGCAAAAGAGGCAACCCAAGGTGTGAGTCATATATCGGGAACGTCAAACTCAAACAGATTCGTAGATTTAACTCTCTAGGCAATGTTATAAAAGATAAAGTTTGTATGCCGCATTGTGTTACTCATAATCTGAGATATTGTGTATGATCCCGGTCTAAGGTTGACCGTAGAGAATTGTGAGATCAGTGCACTTTCAACGCATTTTCTTTTTAATGAATTATTTTCTCGTCTAATCTTCATATTTTGTATGAGTCCGACCGTAAAGAATTGTGAATTCTTTTCTCTTCTTATCAGAGTGGCATTTATTAATTGTGGTCAGATGTGTTGCAGTGAACTACTAATCATTTTAAACGCACTAGTAGTTTACTGTAATACATCTGATTCTAATTTCAGATCTAGTAAATGCCAGTCTGATTAGAAGAGAAAAGAATTCAGAATTATTTACGGCCCTCCTCAGACCGGGCTCATACAAAATATCACCGATCATCACAGAAGCATTAGATGCACAAACGAAGTGTAATATAGTAATTAATGGGTGGATAGAAAAAGTAAAAGCTGTTTCAGAAAGTGAGCAAACGCCCTTAGAAAAAGTAAAATAAAAAAGAAAAGAGTGTTGGACTGCTGTATAACGGCTAATCTTCTATATCGGAGATTCTCAACCGTCGTGTTGCGGCACATTAGTGTGCCGCGCGATCCTCTTAAGTGTGCCGCGAGATATTTAATCAGCTAAATAATACGAACAGTAGCCTGCAAGGTAAAGACGAAAATATTCTCACTTCAACAATTTGTCCTCGTAATTTGGAAAAATAGAGCAAAGTCGGGTTATTTTGATATGCTTTCTGTCAATGCGTAACTACCTGCATTAAAGAAATGATCCCTATTATGGTTACCCATCTGAAAGCGCTCGACGAAAACATCGACTATTATTTTCCGTCATTGAGCACTGAAAAGTATGATTGGATTCGAAATCCCTTCATAAATGCTCTTTCTAATACTGGACTTCAGTTATGAAAAGAAGAAGAAGAATTGGCTAAAATTTCTAGTAATCGAGGCCTCAAAATAAAACATTCGACGGAACCCATTGATACATTTTGGATTTAAATACAAAGGGATTCTCCCGCATTAGCTAAAAAGGCTTTATCAGATTTTTTATTTATTACTCCTTATTTATGTGAATTAAGCTCCTCAACTCTAAATAACATCAAAAATAAGAAGGGAGGAAGACTACGCTCAAGTGAAGAAGAAATGAGGGTCTGCTTATCACACATTCGACCAAACATTGAAGGAATCGGAAAAAACACGAGGCACAGGTTTCACACTAAATAAGCTGAACAAATAGTTGAATAGAAACATTGAAATAAAGTAAGTTCATATTTTGTGTGTGTATTTTATATTTTTAAATCTATGGTTTTATTTCATAACATTTAAATATATACCCTTTAAAAATTTTGCTACGTGTGCCGTGATATTTTCATTTGCTCCTAGGTGTGACGTTGATTAAAAAGGTTGAGAAACACCTTCTTATATGAATAGTAGAAAAATTCGTCCTGATGAATAAAATGCTTGAAGAAAGACAGGGAAAAAGTAAAATGGTGGAATAAATTAAAGAATGTAAGCAAAACACGTTCGATTAAAGAGGAAGGAAGGAAGGAAGGAAGGAAGGAAGGAAGGAAGGAAGGAAGGAAGGAAGAAAGGAAAGAACAAATGGAAGAAGGAAAAAGGACGGAAAGGAAGGAAGGGGAAGAAAGGAAGGCAGTGAGGAAGGATGAAAGGAAGGAAGGGAGGAAAGAAGACAGGAAGGAATTAAACACAAAAACGAATAAATAAATAAGGGACGAAAAAAAAAAAAACAAGAAAAAAGAAAGTTTGTTGTCAGAAAGGAGACAAAACGACATTTATAGGTTCGGATAAAGTGATTTTTACTTTG